AAGAAGAAGAAGAAGAAGAAGAAGAAGAAGAAGAAGAAGAAGAAGAAATAAATTTGTGAAAGACTGTGAAACATCAGTAAACTGGATGAGAAGAAGAAGTTACATCAAAGCTGATGATATAAGCTCCTAGGAAGACCTCCACTTCCTATTAGAAGAACAATACGTTTTGCTAAGGAACCTCCTCCTACACAACTATTAGAGCATAGCAGAGGTATTTGCAAGACTTTTTCTCAGCAAACTGCAAAAGGCAAAACAGATTATACCAAATACACAGTCCTTAAAAGCGACATTTGGCTTCTTCCCTGCAATTAAAGAACAATGAGCCAAGGCACATGACCAGTCGAGTTCCAATCTATTAAGCCTCTAAACAAAAGTTTACGCCACTCCTCAGTTTCCAAACAGAGCATTATTGTTTTTTAGACATTTAGGAATATTATCTGGAAAGGAGAAAATGACATGCTCTGTATTTTATTAGTGATAGATTGGGGAAGTGCTAGGAATTGGATTAGGGAGGGTAGTTCCACACTTCAGTTTACATTATTATTTTTTTCCAATCAGCAATATTAAGGAAACTGGTTTGATGTGACATCTGACTGCACTGCCAACTAGACAATAGAAGTCAACAGTCATATGTACACACACTGCAATCAAGTCTATAAGCTTCCATTAAACCCAGTAAGATGCCAAGGTAAAGAACTGGTGAAGCATGGAGGAAAATAATAGTATTTTACCAGTAGATACTAGAAAAACACGGCCCTTTCAAGATAAGGAAAATAAATATCCATGTTGTTTGACGGAGTGATTAAATAGAGAGGATTTGCATAATCAAAGTCATTATAAAGTTTGAAAATGAGCAAGGCTTCCCTTTACAGTAATTATTATTATTTTAGTGTGGGCTATTCTAGCATTAATATTTAGATGACAAGCAAACAAATTTTCAGAAGGTAAGGAAAACACTTGCCCCTTTTATATAGGATGGGAAATGGAAGATGATATTGTATGGGAGAGCAGGAATAGACAGACAAGGACAAAATCCTAACACTAAGGCTTCTTAAAACCCTATCAAAATGTCCCCCAAATTATAAGCAACATTCTACTTTAGGAAAATCTTGGGAAAACACTATGCCCAGTCATAATATGCTAGGAATGTGCAGTACTTCAAATTCATTTCCTAAAAGTGTCTTCAGAACCCAGAGGGGCAGGAACCGAGTTCTTTTCTTTCTCTCTCTTCAAGGGATTGAAGCAGCTATGTCTTTTTCTGAAAATTGAACAGCAGATTCCTGGGAAAAAAGCAGTTACTTTAAAGAACTCAAAGTGAAATGCTGGAGCTATGCTAGTGCCCCTATGTGCTTTGAAGGACCTTTTTGAAATCAAAATAGAAGTTCTGTACACCCCTTTAATCTACCATTTGATCAATGATGTAAGGGGAAATAGGATCCAGGGCAATATTTTTTCAAACTTGTCAAGTTTTAACTGGCTAGGGAAGTTTATGCTGGCTGAGGAATTCTAGGAGTTGAATCTACACATCTTAAAATGGCCAAGTTTGAAAAACACTGCTCTGGAATCTGTGCAATGCCACACAATGTTGCATGGAGGCTGCTTCTCACAGACCACAAAATTAGAAGGCCAACTGGCTGATAAACTTTTATGTCTGCGATGTAACTACCACCTTTTGCTTCTGGAAAGTTTGGGATACCCTATAATTTTCAAGGAGTTGGTCTTATTTGGTGTCCTTAAATATGTAAAGAAAGAGCCAAATGGAACAACTTCATTCCACAATTGCTCTCTTAAATTCGAGCTTCATTTTGTAAGACAGGCATGCAAGGTAGATCATTAGAGGAATTGGATTATGTTCTAGGGAGCTACAAAGGCTGTCTTTACCTGCAACCTGGTATGTTTTATGGCAGCATGCATGTTTGCTTGGGTTTATTTATTTATTTTTTAAATCACTGATTTAAATCAGTGGCCCTTTCTGATCATTTAAGTGAGCAATTTGAACTTCTGTTTAAATTCATACGACCTACTGCCATCTTATCTCAAAATCCTCTCCCTCAGAATGGCCATCCCCCCAGCTTGCCCCAAAATCACAAGGCTGCAGAGCAGTCTGAATTGGTGAATATGGCCAGAGGGTGGGGAAGAATTAATGATGGACGGCAGGCAAGGTGGAAAGGCCATTTGGGAGAGGATAGGTGCAGGAAGGGTGAGTGGGCTTGCTTACTGGGAGACGTCGGCGAGGTGGTCCCTCCCTCGGAAGTTGTCGTGGTAGATTTGGTGTCAGGTGAGATTGCCAGGCGGGGCATACCTGGGGGTGGCGGCGCCAACATCTGGGTAGGAAGGTAATGCCCGGGTACCTTCACTTGACCACCTCCATTTAACTAGGGACACAATATAAAAAAAAACACAGAGCAAGCCATTAGCACTGTCCACAGGAGTCACCTGCCCGCCCAGAGGAACCTCCCCCCTCAAAATGGGGACAGTGGGCGGGCTTCACTGGGGACCCTGGGAATCTTGGCCAGCTCACCTGACTGCAAATATGGAAGATCTAGTCAATTGTCACGGCTAAGAGTAAAACATAATGCCCTCCGTGTATAAAAACTCTTCACAATCCCACCTAAATGGTCTAGCTTAGGGGTGGGGAACAATGGTGCCTTTACCTTCGGTGGACTTCGACTCCCAGAATTCCTGAGCCAGCCAGGGAGTCGAAGTCCACAGGGGGTAAAGGGAGCAAGATTCCCAACCCCTGCTCATGTGGCCACATCGGTTTCTAATAAATCTATCAAGCTGCTTACTGTGACACTGTGCTAACAAGCTGCATTTTCTGTGCTCTTTATTACTCTTTAGCATTGCAAATGTAGGTTTATATTTTGCGATTTTTGTGCAGATTGCCAAAACTGAATTTATAGCCACAGCCACACAAATAACCCAAAATGCTTGGGTGCATTCATAAAATATCACAACAAAAGTAACGGTGCTATTATGATGCATCAAAATTCTTTTTCTCATGATTTTTACGTATGTACTTGAATACTGAGTGTATGTTCACGGATGTTATCAAAACATTACAGTACACAAAAAAGAATACTGATACAATCATACGTGATCACAAAAACCCCTCTCCTATAGCATATTATTTTACAATGCCAAAAAGGAAAGGAAAAAAAAAAAACAGAGGAAGATACTGAACACTGTTGTCAACTATGGACTGAATAACATTTGTAAAGTAAAAAAAAGAAAGGGAAGAATGGCAAGAATGTTAATATATCAAAGCGAAAATAAATCCAGATAATCCAGAACTTAAAAATTTGGAAGAAATTCAGAGGAATATATTTGAAAAGCATTTTTAGTCCTCCCGCTAGAGTTAGTACAGTCTTGCCTATATCAGTGATTCTGAAACTGTGGTCCCTGGACCTCTGGGGGGAGGCATAATGTCGCCACAGGGGGTTGGTGAAGGCTTGAAGAAATGTTATGATTTAAATCTTAAGTCTTGGAGCTCCATGGCCACAAAAGGAATTTAAAGGGGGTGGGGTCCCTGGTGAAGGAAAGGTTGAGAACTACTGGCCTATGTAATATCATTTTCAGCTCTATCTTCAGCCTACGGTTTCAACAGTAGAAAGGATTGATTGTGCCGAGGAAGCGATCACAGACATTCAGAAGCAACACTAGCTTCCAATTGTTCTGTATGTGCCTGCATGTATGTGAGAAAGAGAAAAGGAAGGTAATAATTCCTTCCTTTACTGCCCTGCATGTAACTAATACATTAACATCCCTTCAATGGCATCATCCACGCGCAGAGTTAGCAGAGATAGAGAAGAGAAACAAGCTGGGCCTCCAATAGCAGACATTTGTGTGTATGTGGGCACACGTATGGCCTAGGTGCAACTTTGATTAGGGGGGCAATTTGAATATTTACTATTTAAGCTCTCTCTTTCTCTCTGCGGTTTTGCAGCACCTTCAGGTCTGACAATTTTCATTCCTTTTTTGTGAACTTAGTTAACCCAATAGCTCTTTCAGAGGGGCAGCTGGCACCTTCAGCACATACAGGTAGTCCTCGACTTACAACCACAACAGACCCCAAAATTTCTGTTGCTAAGTCAGATGTTTGTTATGTGACTTTTTTTTTTGTCCCATTTCAAGACCTTTCGTGCAACATTTGTTTGGTGAATCACTGTAGCTGTTACGTTATTAACACGGCTCTTAAGTGAATCTGGCTTCCCCATTGGCTCTGCTTGTCAGAAGGTCACAAAAGCTGATCATGTGACCAAGTGACACTGCAGCCGTCATAAAGACGAGTTGGTTCCCCAGCCTCTGATCACGTGACCATGAGGATGCTGCAATACGTGTGAAAAATGGTCATAAGTCACTTTTTCCAGGGCTGTTGTAATTTCCAACAGTCACTAAATGAACTGTTGTAAGTCGAGAACTACCTGTACAGCAGTTGAGGCAGATCCTACTACTCGATTTCTGAGGATCTCAACAGTTTTGTCAAAACTTTCCTTTGATCTTATCCTAAACATCCTCCAGGCCCCGAACCAGGTCTATTTCCTTCTTGCACAAGTTCTCAGCACGAAGCCTAAATTAGTGTGAATTCATTACCTCTTCACTAGCATCGGCCCTGCCTGTGAAAACAGCATGCAAATATAGGGCTTCTCGATCTCACTTTGATTATTATTTATCTAGTCCAAGGAGGATTATACCATATCTTGTTTCAAGATGTACATTGCGACTGTAAACTGCATTTTCCCTTCACTAAACCCTTTACATGCCTTTGGTACAAATGGCATTGGGCTTTGTGAACTTGCTCAAGGCATGCTATGCAAATTACAGATAATTACCATCAGTGTTTTGAAGATCTGAGGATTTAATCCTCCTCAAGCACACACATTGTTTTGTGTCTGTTCAGAACCCACATACGTGCAGGTGCTACTTAACAGTTTTAAAAATCCTCCATGCCTGATGACTGTGGTGATGTATGTGTCCTTGAAGGGGTCCCGTCCCCCCCCCTTGGTGACAATATGGTCTTCCTCCATGATGGGTTTGGGTATTTATTTTTTACTTCACAATCTAACTTACAGCTTTGGTCTCTGATAACTCTAGTATTATTTATTTGCTTGTTTGTTTGTTCATTAAACTTCTGTGCTGCCCATTTCCCTGATACAACAACTCTGGGTAGCTTACAATGTGTAATAAAAAGTTTAAAAAAAAATACTGGAAAACAATTAAAATTAGAAAAATTGAATAGAAAAGCTTAAATGCCAAAAACTAAAATGATGGGCAAGCAATTTCATTCCTAAAACAGCTAAGCCTTGGTTGTCAACCCCCAACATAGCAAGCCCCTCTCAAGGCCCCAGTCCAAAGGGCAGAGAGACGTTTTTGGGCCCTTCCCAAAGGTCAGGAGTGTGGGGGTGGACCTCACCTCCAATGGGAGAATGTTCCAGAAGGTGGAGACCATAGCAGAAAGGCTGTCCTTCTGGACCCTGCCAGCCAAAATTCTTTGGTCAACAGGTTCCGAAGTAGGTGCTTTCTGCAAGAGTAATAGTAATAGTAATAGTACTGGTAGTAATAGTAGTAGTAGTAACAATAGTAGTATTCTATACTAACAGATCTGACTGATTCCCTCGGTTGAGCCAAGGCCAGATAGTAATGCTGCCTGCTAAGGCTTAGCTGTTTTAGAAATGAGATTTCAAGAACAGAAGGACAAATCTCAGTCCCAATAGATAACAGATTAAATAACAGATTAAAAAGAAGAGTTGGAAGGGACCTTGTAGGCCATCTAGTCCAACCCCCCCACCCAAGCGGGAGACCCTACACCATTTCTGACAGATAGCAGTCCAATCTCTTCTTGAAAGTCTCCAGTGATGAAGCTGCCACAACTTCTGAGGGCAAGGTAACCAACCTCCTCCCCAATGCCGTGTCATCATTTTTAATTCATTAAGAATAATAGCTTAGAACAAAGCTATGTCATTTTAAAAATACTTCAGGGCCTTATTTGAAAGTAAAAATAACTGATGACAGGACCAAACACAAAACAAAACAGAACATAAGAACAATGGTGAGTCTTTCAATCAAGTATGAAAATGGAATTGTGGGTCCAAGACTGAGATGGTACAATATGGTTTAAATCTGTGTTTGTTTGTTTCAAATTTGGCAACTTCAAAATGAGTAGACTTGACTTACCAGAATTCACGGTGGCTGGTGAATTCTGTGAGTTGAAGTCCACTCTTCTTAACATTGCCAAGTTTGAAAAAACACACTAGCTTAAACTTTGTTGTTTAGGGAGTCTGGAAATCCCAAGGCATTTGGAGAACACCAGGTTGGAGAAATCTGGTTTTAAGTATACCATTTAAGAAAATATACTTTTTTTTTTCTAGGTCTTGTGATGACTGAGCAAAAACACCGAAGAGCTTGGGGAACTGCTTGGTTGCATGGGTATTTCAAATAACCTGCCATGCCGTTCCTCCTTGGACCCAGGGAGCCATGAACAGAGAAGCATAAGGGACTATCCTTACCACAAGACCAAAAAAAAATAAAAAATGACAGGAGTTATAATCCTGGCAGTTCCTTACCGGTCCTGGTTGTTGATTGGATGGGTCACAAGCCAATGAGACGAGGTCTTTCAGAGGGTCCTGTGGGTTCAGATGAGGCGGGTACCTTATGGCTGTGTGCGGGAAATAGGTGGAGGCCGCCTGGGGCAGGATCGAAGTGGTGGGAAAGTGCAGCGCAGAGGAGGGGTGGGGACTTCGAGAGATACCTGCAGAAGGTGAGAGAGAGAGAGAGAGAGAGAGAGAGAGAGAGAGGAAACTGGGCGGCCTTCATCAACAGCACACAATCCAGACCCTTCTGCTCCCAGGCATCTCTACAGAAACAATTAGAAGGGCCTTCCTCCATCTTCCTCCTCCTCCTTCTGGAGCAAGCAAACATCTACCTCCTTCCCCCTCTCCAACCTCCCTGGGCAAGTCAACAAACCCTACAGGACTCTCTCACTCCCATTCATCTTTAGATCATGTACTGGATGTTAAGGTAAGGGGCCCAAGTGCCACCAACACTATCCTCTGGGGGGCAACATCTGGCCTTTGGCCACACAGCCAAAACTGTACTCAGTTCCCACAAAATTTCACTAATAGCTTCAGAAAGGCAGCAGCGGCACCTCCTTTGACTTACCGCATGAGCACTAAATCCCAAACTTCCTAGAATTCTGTTAAATCTTTACAAGTGTGGCTCTGCTGGCCTAAGTTTTTAAAACCTAATCACTTTTTTGTTTGCTTTTTGCAAATAAGTCACTTTTGGGGGGGGTCGGGGGAGGGGGGGCTTTTCACATGCAACTTTTACTGGGAAATTTTCAAGAGAATTTAAGTTGCCTGATACACTGCTGAACTGTTTCTTTCTTAATTTCCACAATTAGTAGCACTCTGAAGAATTCTGGAAAAAAAAAAAGCTGAAATGATCTGCAAAAATCCTATTCCACCCTATCCTGTGCCAGAAAGCTTCATTCCCTAATTTGATTAACATGTTGATGGGAGCTGTAGTGCAACACATCTGGAGGGCAGGTTGAAGAAGGCTGTCATTAATTTGGGCAATTCATCTGAGTTCTATAATAAAAACTATCCACTTGGTCTGCAGACAGGGTTAAATTCAAAAGACTCTAAACAAATGTAATATTATAGATGGAAAAGAAAAAGTTGGACATAATGCAAAAATTATAGAATTGGAAGGGACCTTAGAGATCTTCCAGTCCACTTCCCTGCCTCAAATAACTATACGACCAGAATTCACTCATTTCTGCAAGAGATCCAGTTTTCTTCTCATTTTGACAACTAAAATGTTAGCTGCATGTTCAAGTAGTCCTCAGTTTATGACTCTTCATTTAACACGGTTTGATGGCTTTGCAAAAGTGACCTGTTCTCAATGTTCTGACCGTCACATTACCTCAATGGTCATTTGATCACAATTTGGGCCTTTGGTCACTGGTTCCTACTTAATGATGGTTGCATTGATTGCGGTTTGCAACTTTCCAAGCCAGCTTCTGACAAGTAAAGTTAGCTGCAGAAGCCAGATTTGCTTGACTCCTATGTGATTCACTTAATCACCACACGAATTGCTTAACAACTGTGGTAAAAATTATTGTAAAATAATTTTGTAAAACAATGTCTCGCCTCATGATTGCATCGCTTATCAAAATTCTGTTCCTCATTGTGGTCATAAATTGAAGACTATCTGTGTAAGCGCGGTGGCGCAATGGTGCTGCAGTACTGCAGGCTACTTCTGCTGGCTGCCTGCAATCTGGCAGTTCGAACCTCACCAGGCTCAAGGTTGACTCAGCCTTCCATCCTTCTGAGGTTGGTAAAATGAACGAGATGGTTGGGCGTAATAGGCTGACTCTGTAAACCACTTAGAGAGGGCTGTAAAGTACTGTGAAGCAGTATATAAGTCTAAGTGCTATTGCTATAAGCAGTGGAGGAATAGTTTAGTTAGCAGTCTTGCCCTTTTCCTGTAGTTCACAAAGGCAATTTTCTCTTTATTTGAAATGTGGCATGGATAAAGTCATATATTATGTGCACATTCATCACTGCCTTGAGGTTTCATTTTCATTTCTTTGTTTTGTTTTTTAGGTGCAAATACTTCTGGAAATTGAGAAAAGGGTGGTTCCCTGAAGACATAACAAGCACCTACCAGTTAGGGCTGTGTGCACAGCTGGATTCTGTTACAGAGTTCTGGGATAATTTCTTCCCAGAGTTAGATCTCTGAAAGGAACAGCTCCGTTTTTGCTGATTGCAGCAAGGAGGCTTCCAAAGCAATCTTTTCCTCTAATAAAGTTATATTTATCTTAACTCAGGCAGTTTCCTTTGATGGGGGCTGACCTATGCTAGCATTAGCTGCTGAATCTAGTATATTTTTGAACTCTTCCAGAACTATCGAATCTTCCATCCCATCTCCTAAAAGCATTCTGGCAATTGTTGCTTGGGAAGATTAATAGCAACTCTCCCTTGGAGAACTTCTGACAATGCAGCTTCTTCTCCTCTCGTCCCCACATGTTGCTGAACTGCCATTCTTAGGAAGGAGGAATTAGCAAGCAACCCTTTTTATAATTAGATCCCTGAGACCTATGCCTACCCACAGGCTGTTCTAAAAATGGCAAACAGGCAGAACATGGGAAGGAAGAAAAATGAGGATTTTTGAATGGATGAGGAATTATTAGAAAAAGAAGCACAATGAGGAGACGCTCATTTCTGATGAATATCCAAGGAGATATTTAAAAATAAGTAACATTATTAAAACTATCAGAGTCCCCTCCTATACACTTGGAAATAGTAAAATAAGGATTCTGTATCAGGTTCGCATAATAATAACCATCATCCTTGCCCTTTGTAAAGCAGCTTACATACCACTGTGTACGGCAATGACAGGACGGTGATGCTGAGTGAACAGCCGGGGTGAAGTGTCCTGCGGAGATGGGCTGTTGAAGGGAGACTTGTCCATTTCTGTCTTTTTCACAGTTGGAGAGATGCCTGAAGAAGAGATGCGAGGAAGAGGCATGTTACAATGTCATTGAGACAGTTGGTTGCTGACATCAATATGCCCTCCAAACCAGTATTTCTCAACTGTGGTCCTTTTAAGGTGGATGGACTTCAACTCCCAGAATTCCTCAGCCAGCAAAGTCCACCCATCTTAAAGAGGCCATGGTTGAGAAACACAGCTATAAATCAGGGGTTCCCAATCTTGACAACTTTAAGATGTGTGGGCTTCAATTCCCAGAATTCCCCACCAATGGCTGGCTGGGGAATTCTGGGAGTTGAAATCCACACGTCTTAAAAGTTGCCAAGATTGGGAACCCCTGATTTAAACTATATTTCTGTTCTTTCTATACAGTTTGGAACTATCCTTTAACTATATAGCAGCCATGTTCTTCAGAGACCTAACCAATGAAAAAATGTTAGCTTTTATGAGTCATTAGCATCATTTACGGCAGTGCCCTGGACATCCCAACTATAAAAAGGGACCAGGTGTTTTTCATGCAGCACAGTTCATGTATGTGACTTAGTTCTATCAAGCATATCTTGTTCTTTGTCACTTGGCATTATTCTTTCCCATGTCTGTGTAGCTCTCTCCTTACGGCTCGTCGGTGCTGAGCCACTATGAGCAGATTCCGTTCAAGATTTACCTGCAGAAGTTTTTTCTATTTTCATTTGTGACACATTGATAGAATGGAGTTTGCTCCTAGGTAAGTTGTCTGGTGAATCCTACAGATGGGCTTCTATCCTTGCCTATAAATATCAAAGCCCACCCCCCCCCACCCCCCCATGTGTGCATGTCTGCAACAGGATGCAGTTAATCTCTATCTGCTGGCTCAGATTTATCTGGGACAGTTGGTTTAGTCCACGCCACTAAAAGGTTTAGTCCTTTCTCAGACACTCATTTGGAAGGATTTTACAGAACATCCAGGACAGGATTGAAATTAAATCTCTTCTTGCAAAGCATTTAGACATGTTTCTACTTGGGGAAAGAATAGGTGGGCATACACCCCCCCTTTTAATTCTTTACCTAAATGAAGGCAAATAATAACCGCAACAATATTGCAATGTTTATTGATCGTTAAGCCAACTGATCAATTATTTTTTTAAAAAATCACTTTTAAAAGAGGAAAAATAAAATATTCTAATTAGACAGCAATGCTTTTATTTTTTTAAAAAACCCAATTTATAATATCTGCAAATGGAAAACATTTTCTCAAATGAGCACAGAACCACCAAAAAGCCAGATTCAGTTAATGACTGCAGTGATTCATTTAATAACTATGGCAAAAAAAGGCCATAAAACTGGGCTCAATTAACTTAACAATTACCTTCTTTAGCAATGGAAGTTTTGGCCCCAATTGTGGTCATAAGTCGAGGACTACTGTAGACAGCTTTCAGAAGCAGCCCTGCTACAAAGAGTTAATAAGTGCTTATCCCCAGGATTTCCATGTATTGGTCCAACCCTTTCTTGAAGTCATCCAAGCTAGTTAGCAGCACAGCAGTTCATCAGCAATATTTTCTCAGTATGCATCAGTTAAAATATTATATATTAAAAAATAATCTTGATGTAATCAGACTGTATGTATAATCATATAAAGATAGTTTATATATGTATATAAAAGGTGGGTGCTGAGAAGGGGAAAAAACAAATGGAAGTTGTATACATTAAATTAGTAACCCTCTGATTCTGGAATTTAGCCTCAATATTATTCTACTTGATTCAGAATTAATCCTATATTGTTAGTGAGATTGATTGTGCTCTCCTGCAGACTGTGTTTTTTAAAATGACTTTAATAGTCTTTTACTGTTTTTAAACTATTATTCTAGATATTTTGGGTTATTATGTTGCATGGTTTCATGTTTTCAAATTCTGTACACAGCTCAGAGTTACATGTGTGAGATGGTGGCTGTATAAATTTACCAAATAAATACATAAAGATTAAAATACAGTAGATAACACATTCCCAAATGACAAGGTAATGGAATTAGAAGAAAATTAATTTTCCTCACTCTTCAGAGAAAGTTGTAAAAATCAGAATGATTTGTTGATTTGATGGCTAAATATTTACAAGTTATTAGCTATCAATACAGTACTTCTGGTTGTTATCTCTATATTCAGTATTTCAGACAGATCTTCAACAAGTACACTGGGTGTCTTTTGTGCTGTCTGAGCTTGGTCGTTTTCTTGCAGACGTTTTATTACCAAACTAGGTAACATCATCAGTGTCACCTAGTTTGGGTAATGAAACATCTGCAAGAAAACAACTAAGTTCAGAGAGGACCCCTCATTTGAACCCTGAGCTCCAAATATTCTCCTTTGTGGGAACCAATTATACTTTTCACGTGATTGATGGCAGCTCCTGGGGACCTGGCCCTGAAACTAGGAAAACAGGAAGCCAATGGAAATGCTAAATATTCTGCAAATGTCTCAAAGGTGCTTCCCCCACCCCCCAAAGGCAACTGGACTGGTGTTTCCCTCCCCCCCACCTCGAGGAAATAGAAAAAAAGACTTCTCTTCCAAGAAGGTTCATCAGTTGTGACTGGATGGTGGGGCAATGGAAAGATAGGAAGGATAGAACTTATCCTTCCAACATCCCTCCCCTGCCGCTAGCATCATCCAGTCACAACCATCACAACTTCTTTGATGAGAAGCAAAATGTCTTCTTCTTCAGGGAAAAAAATAGTCCAGTTGCCTTTTGAAAAAAAAAGAAATACCTTTGAAACAGCTATGATCTGGATGTCTGAGGAATCTCCATAGACATTTATTCCGCAAAGGCATTTGAACTTGTATCTCCTGCACACTTACTCCCTTCCATGTCCTCCGTCCAGTTGCGGCTGCTACTTGTGGGGGAGCTGGGGGAGGTATAGTATTCACCCCCAGGGCTGGTATCCAGATCATCCTCCATAGATCCTGACTTGTGCCGTTTACTCCTTATGAGGAAAAAAAGGAGAGACGTGGTTTTAATAGCAGTTTAAAATCTAAGAATAACAGCCATCATTATCTAACATCTCTTCGAAAGCAGCATAACCGTGACAGTCCTCGACTTACAACCATAACTGAGACCCAAATTTCTGCTGTTAAGTGAGGCGTTTGTCCAGTGGTGGGATTTAAACTTTTTTACTACCAGTTCTGTGGGCATGGCTTGGTGAGCGTGGCAGGGGAAGGAGACTGTAAAATCTCCAGTCAGAGGTGGGATTTGCTGGTTCTCCGAACTACTCAAAATTTCCACTACCAGTTGTTCAGAACTGGTCAGAACCTGCTGAATGCCACCTCTGCATATGTCCCATTTTACAACCTTTCTCACCACAGTTGTTAAGTGAATCGCTGCAGTTGATAAGTTAGTAACACAGTTGTTGACTTAATCTGGCTTCCCCGTGGATTTTGCTTGTCAAAACATTTCAAAAGTTGATCACATGACAGCAACAGTCATAAGTATGAACCAATTGCCAAGCATCTGAATTTTGATCAGCATGACCATGGGGCTATTAGAAAGGTCGTAAGTGTGAAAAATGATCAGAAGCCACTTTTTTCAGTGTCGTTGTGCCACTAAATGAACTTGGTAAGTTGAGGACTACCTGTATAGCTACCATGAAGGGCAACAGCTATCAAAGAAGCTAAATTTTGAAAGGAACTTCCTCCTTTTTATACTTCATTGCTCTGGGTAATAATTCACTAAGTCCAAGAATGTAGGATATCTCTGAGGAGCTTTACATGGTGAAATATGATTCCAAAGAGAGGCAAATGAGGTTAGAAAACCAAGGCAAAGTAAACAAACTGCAATTATTCCCTTAACACAGTCCTAGCATTTTGGTGGAAGGAAAAATAAAGAGAAGAGAAGATGGAAGAAGTTTTGAAGGACAGGAGTTTTTAGGAGACAGCCAGGGCACAAGAATTAAAAGAAGAAAAGAATTGTTTTAAGGGACAGGAACAAAAGACAGAACAATGACATATTGGGATATATCAGTGAAGTAATAAAAAGAAAAAGGTCATGGAAAGTTTCAGAGGCATCTAGGGGGTCAAGAATGCCAAGATGGCAACTGTGATCATGTAATGAATAGAATAAAAGAGTTGGAAGGGACCTTGGAGGTCTTCTAGTCCAGCCCCCTGCTTAGGCAGGAAACTGACTAAAGTCACACCCCTTTTTTCTCCGGGAGTTTGTGGATTAGGAGTTTGTACAAGATCTGGGGGTGAGTAGCAAACCAGGGTAGGGAATGAAGGAAGGGCATTACAAAAGGTAAGAGCATATTATCCCCCCTAGTTGAACAATGACTAATCTATTGCAACAATATTAGTTTCCCCCTTTGCAAAGCAGGTCTAGAATGTCTACATCTAGGATCCCTCCTTGGTTGTGTTTTTGTCATTTGTTCTTTTTAATTCACTTTTTTAATGTTCTTGTCTAGTTTTGTTTTGTCTCTGTTGATTTTTTTTTCTTTTGGATTTTGTATTCTAATTGTCTGAATAAAATAAAAATTGATTAAGAACACAAAAGGTAAGAGTGCTCACAGCAGGTCAGAGCTACAGAGGAAAGAAAACTTTTTTCTAATTAAACAGTGACAGCATTCCTAAAGGCTGAGATGGTCGCATTTTGGGCTTATTGAGTATGTCACCCAATGATCACCTTTACAATTTCAGTTCTGATCCCAAGAGCACGGGAGAAGTGGTTGTTTCAATGATACAGAAAGAGCTGTCGAAGATTCCACCTCCCGCTTTCTCAAGCAATTTGCATCCCAGATGTTTGAGACATGTGGATGTGATGTGGTTGAATAAGTCAGGATCATGATTCAGGTTGTTTAAAAAGTCAGAAAGGAAGGAGAAAATTGAGGCATGAAAGCTACAGCCTCCTAGCTTGAAACCCTACTTTTTACCTTAGTTAAAAGAAAGACTGCATTACATCAAAATCAGAAAAACAGAATAACAGAGTTGGAAGGGACCCTGGAGGTCTTCTAGTCCAACCTGCTGTTCAAGCAAGAGATCCTATACCATTCCAGACAAGTGTAATGTAAAAATCATACATTGTCTGCAAATACAGGAAATCCTTGACTTACAACAGTTCGTTTAGTGACTGTTTAAAATTACAGTGGCACTGAAAAAAAAGTGACTTGCCACTGTTTTTCACACTTACAAACACTGTAACATCCCCATGTTCATGTGATCAAAATTTGGGCGCTTGGCAATTGGCTCATATTTATGACAGTTGCAGCATCCCAGGGTCATGTGATCGCCTTTTGTGACTTTCTGACAATCAGAGTCAATGGGGAAATCAGGTTCACTTAACAAATGTAGCAATTCATTAACAACTGTGGCAAGAAAGGTCATAAAATGGGGGCAAAACTCCCTTGACAATTGTCTCATTTAGCAACAGAAATTTTGGGCTCAATTGTGGTCGTAAGTCGTAGACTACCTGTAACTCGGGTGTCAAATCCAAGGCCCACAGGCTGGATCCAGCCTGCAGTGTGCTTAGATCTGGCCCACAGGGCCACCCTTGAAAAAAAACAAAGGACTGGTCCACGGTGCCTCTGCCAGCGAAAACAGGCTCCCAATCTCCGTTTTCGGCTGGGACAGACTCCTGCAACCCTTTGCCAGTGAAAACAGAGCTCCGGAGGGCCGGTTTTTGCTGGCAGAGGGTTGCAAGAGGCCGCCCCAGCCGAAAATGGAGATTGGGAGCCTGTTTTCACTGGTAGAGCACTCGGGCCACCACAGGTACCCAATACTACTGAAGTCAATCTGGCCACGCCCACCATGGCCACACAACCACACACCCCCGAGGTCAAACTCAACCTTGATGTGGCTCTCAATGTAATAAAATTTGACACCCCTGCTATAACTAGAAAATAATTTCTAGTTACAAGAAATAGCTGGACAAAACCCCTAATTCTTGAAGACCCACCCCCACTTTCTGGATATCAACCAATTTTGGGTGACCTGGCAACCTTCCAATTCCATCTGTTGCATCTTCAGTAGGGTAAAAGTTTTATTCCATAAATAAACACACACACACACACACACACACACACACACACACCAAGGTAGTTTAACACATATTCACAGAGGGAGGGGGGGGGAAGAAGGAAAGGGATGGAGAGAGGGAGAGTGTTTAGACTTACCCACTGGAGGAAGTGCTGGGGAGCGTCCGCCTCATCCCTGTACTTGAGGGATTCAGGTCATATGCTAAGTGCCCTTGCAACTCTCCCAAAGAGAAATTTGGACCTGTGCCTGTCACCACTGGTGCTGTGAATGACAGAGGCAGAAGAACCATCAGTAGTAGCAAAGGCTAATAAGTGATTCATAAAACAATGATTCGGGATGGAATTTTCTGCTTCCATCAGTGGTGCTCTGTCAGAGATGATGGCATTGTTTCTCAACTATGGCATCCTTAAGATGTGTGGACTTCAACTCCCAGAATTCCCCAGCCAATACAACTGGCTGGGGAATTCTGGGAATTGAAGTCCATATATCTTAAAGTGGTTGAGTTTGAGAAACACTGAATTAGTCTGTCGGGTGGAAGTGGGGAATTCTGGGAGTTGAAGTCCACACATCTTAAAGTAGTCAATAGAAACATTGGATTATGGAATGAAGTGACCTGATACGTACGTATGTATGTATGTAACAATTAGAACTGAAGATGCTTCTTAGATGAGAAGCAAAAGTTTTCAAAGGAAAAAAAAACAAGTCCAGTTGCCTTTTTGAAAAAGGCACTTTTGGGACAACCGTGAACCTGGATGATTGAGAATCTCCATAGACATCAGACTCTTGTCTATAGATTACACTGAATAAATTCACAATGCTTTTGAACTCTATGCTGGCTCCTGGTTTCGAGTGCCTGAAAGTAACTCCACTTGCCTGGGTTCAGATTCAGCTTGTTTCCTCACATCCAGAACCCAACAGCCTATAGACAAAATTTCAACAGTAGAGCCAGCTTGAGCATCATCACTACCTTGATGGTAACCCCTGTCTGAACCAACAGATAACTTTTCCCAGCAGCTGGGAAATAGATATTAAAAGTAAAAATATTATAATTTTGGTAGAAATCTATTAACATTTACAATGAAAAAGAATAGATTAACAGTGTGGAAAAATTAGCAAATCTTACTCATAGCTGCATTTTAAACAATATAATGTAACTGACAGAAGTGAGAATTAAATAGGGAAAAAAGACTAATAAGGATACAAGCTACTCACTCCGGGAAACTTGAATAAGTTCTGTGACACTGAACACACCTGACGTAACAAAATTCTCTTGAAAATCTGCTGCATCTGCAAAAGAGATTTTGAACTCATTCAGAAACTGCTCCAATAATCAGGTTTTTTTTCCCTCAATTGTTCAATGTTTTCAGTGTCAGGTTTTGACTTAGAGAAAGAAATTCCGTATACTATAAATCAGGTAATTAGCATATAATCCTAAATATTCTAGACTGGGTACTTTTCAAACTCTTTTCTCCATTTATCATTTATCCATTTTTTTAGACCAGAAAGAACAAGAGTCTATGAAAGCAGCCAGCCAAAGAAGTTTGACCCTAAAATAATTTAACATTATATAACAGCCACTGGCTATGTCAGTTTTGGATGACGGAATAATAGTTTTAACAGCATGAGGTTGAAGAGGCCTTTATGTAAAAAGTACCCAATTGAAGTGATTTTTACAAGCTGGCTGTCAGTCCCCTTCTGAAACGCATTTATGCTTTTACTAATGTCTGTATTTAACAGTGACATGATTGACTTTATTGATAGGTTTTCTCGTTTGTCTATCCATCTTAAAGTTGCCAAAGTTGAGAAACACAGATTTAGAGATTTGCTGACTGAGGCTGGTTGAGAATGTTCATTCCACGTTATCCTCAAGGCTGTGGTGAAGTCTGATTTGGTTTGGAATAAATCAGGTGGGTTTTTTTTTTTAACTAAATTGAGAAGGTGGGAAGAGACAGAAGAGGACTCCAAACCAATCCTATTTCTAAGCCTGCCTTGAGGTGCTTCTCCATTACTAATTCATTTCCTGATTGGATCAGCCCTTGATCCTTCCATCAGTCTGTTCCAGGGTACCATCCCACCTAATTCTTTCAGGATTTGTATTGCAATTTCAGGGAACCGCAGACGGACAGCCTCATACATGCACCCACACCTTTCCTCTGTCCTTTTTTTGCTGTTGCTCACCCAGTGTGATTATGGGTTTACTATCCTCTTGGTCAGAACCGATTCCTGTCCTGGGACTGCTGCTTTGATCTGAATCTGAAAAGAAAAGAATTGTGCATTACATTTTACAGCTTTACACAACCAAGGCCTACAACACATATATATTTGTCTTCTTTTGGGGTTTTCCCTCCCCGTCCTCCCAAAAGTTGCTTTCCATAACTGAGAAGTTTAGACTAGCATCCAGGGCTGGCTGACCAAAACACAATGTCAGAATTTCTTCAGACAAAGTGGGGTGGCTTTTTCAGACAGCCACTAATTTTGGGAGGCAAGAACATGCATTCGGGAGTTAGTTTTAATGTTATATTTTTGCTGTAAGGGAAAACAATTTGTGTAAAGTTGGGGAAGGGGTCGTCAGGTCTCCTGCCTGATAAATCTCGTATAACCTGTGTGATTTTCATACTAGATACTTTGACTTAGAACATAGAACATAGAATCATAAGGCTGGAAAGGACCTTGGAGGTCATCTAGCCCAACTCCCTGCACCCTTATACCATCCCAGTCAAGTGTTGACTAGTTCAATTTTGAAAATCTCTAGTGATGGAGTACCCATAACTCCAGGAAGCAATCTATTTCATTGATTAATTGTTCTGTCAGAAAATTTCTCCTTACTCCTACATTGCATCTCTCTTTGACAAGCTCCCACCCATTACTTCTGTCCTCTCGTGCTTTGGGGCCAAGCCCCTCTTCTCTGTGTGAGCCCCTCTTGAGTGATGGCAAAGGAAGGTCAGTGGCTGGGTCACCTCAGGCCACTAAGCACACCTCTTGGTACTAGCAATCTTTGCGAAGACCCTCAGCCTTCCTTCATCAAGGTAAAGATGAACAGAGGCCGACCACAAGTCCAGGCCCTACTAGGTTGCTACGGCAACCGCCAAACACTAATGGGCGCTTGGAGTAATGTAATTTTTGCAGTAACGGCTGCCCTCCTCCCCATAATCAGCCCTCCCTTGACAGCACTCACTTCGCAGCCCGGGTGGGTGATTAACGAGCCGCCAATGCAGATGAAGCATCTCCCTCCTCGGCCTCCCTTCCCTTCCTCGGCTCTCAGCTATGCAGGCAACACCTGACCTCAGAACTCTGTTGGCGCCACTAAAGCCAGGCATGTGATGCCACTGAGGATCCTAACCCCGTGCTGTCTATTTGAGCATGATGAAATCAACGTTGCCCATTGATGCAATTCTTCCCCCGGAGAGATGGGGAACACGCATGGGACGGTCTTAGGCTGTATTAACTCTTCGTCCTGCAAGGTTGGGTAGAGATAGATTCTGTTGGGCCTCTAAGTAATTTGATACGGGGCAGCAATGAAGTTTCTGGCTCTGCTTTCAAGAGCAGCAATCTTTCCCGGAGAAATCAAGTTGCTGAAAAGGAATGCAAGTACTGGAACTTGCAAAGAGGGAGGGAGACACCAGAAAATAACTTTTGTGCAAAGGAATTCATTTTAGTATTTATTTGATTTGTCAATCACTTACAAGATACAGGTATAAGAATAAACATACTTTTGAATACATGAGATAGATACTTATAAGAAAAATAAAAAGAAACGATAGGACAGTGACGGTAGGCACGATTGGTGCGCTTATGCACGCCTCCTACAGATCTCTTAGGAAAGGGGTGAGGTCAATAGTAGACAGTCTAAGGTTAAAGTTTTTGGGGTTTGGGGAAGAAACCACAGAGTCAGGTAGAGTATTCCAGACATTGACCACTCTCTTGCTGAAGTCGTATTTCCTGCAATCAAGTTTGGTATGGCTAACCTTGCGTTTGCATCTATTGTGTGCTCTTGTATTGTTATGATTGGAGCTGAAGTTTGAAGTATTCATGTGGGCTCTTTGGTTCTGATCATGCTGAGAGACTCTTTTTCTTAATGCTGAAATCATGGGCTATTCCATGGGGCACTTTGGGGCGATTCCTGGAGTGGTGCCATCTCCCACTGTTCCTAGTGTCACCCTTCAGCAGCTGAGTTGATTTTCGTTGGGGCATCAGAGTCTGAAATCTCAAATTGCAGGGCTTCCATTTTGGATTTTGATACACCCCAATTCCATGGAATTGGTGGAAACTCCCACTTGGAATCGCCTCCCTAGTTCTGTGTCTTTTTCCTACTCTAAACTGTAATGCTTCCAAAATGCCATAAAATTCTCATAACTGCACTCCAGTGATTTTGCAGTGGTTTCTGCCTCTTCCTCCCGCCGCAAGGCCCCCTCTCCAAAACCTCATAGATGGCGAAAAAATGGTAAGAGATGAGGGGTTGATCATTTTTTAGCACACTTCTACCTGTGGCTAAAGGCAGAGGAAGTTGTAACTAGCCCTTGTTATTAAGGCTGTGGTGAATACGATTGGAAGCTGTTGAGAGAATAAATGCAGGGTTTGCAGGGTGATGAATGTGGCTGTATAAAAATGCCCATACAGGTAGTTCTTGACTTACGACAATTGAACCCAAAATTTCCATTGCTAAGCAAGGCAATTAACTAAGCTTCACCCTATTTTATGACCTTTTTTGCCACAGTTGCTAGGGGAATCACTGCAGTTGTTAAGTAAACCACGTGGTCGTTAAGCCAATCTTGCTTCCCCCTTGACTTTGCTTGTCAGAAGATGGCTGGGCAGGTTTCAAATGGTGATCTCATGATCCCAGAGGAGTGCAACTGTCATAAATACGTGCCAATTACCAAGCGGACGAATTTTAATCATGTGATCAAGGGGATGCCGTCATGCTTGTAAGTGTGAAAAACAGTCATAAGTCTCTTTTTTCAATGCCGTTGCAACTTGGAACGGTCACTAAACGAATGGTTGTAAGTCAAGGACTACCCGTGGTCTGTTCTCTGAGCCATTGTTTTGCAGCCAGATCTAGGTGGTAGATCAGAAGACTGTAGTAAAGAACAAAATAGAGCTTCTTTTAAGTTTGAAACTTGGCAATTACTCAGATGGTAGCAACTGACTAATATGCTGTCTGGGGAATTCTGGGAGTTGAAGTCCACACATCTTAAAGTCACCAAGGTTGGGAAAATCTGCATGTAGTCTTCTGAATGAAAAGCATACATTCTCCCCCTTATTCCAGCAGCATTTGCACTGCATCATTCTTGCAGAGGTCCCACTCTACCACGTCCAGCTAGTTCCCTTCTCCAAGGAAATGCACTTTGCACACAGTCAGGAGCCCTTTGTGCTCTCTGTTTGTAAGAACTTTTTTTAAACAGAGGGAAGAAATGCTGATGCTCGGGGTCGTACCCTCAAAAGGTATGACCCTTTTTCAAAACCATCCAGAAATTGGCAGGCTTAGACTAGGGGAGGTGATTAGATAACTCTGGAAGTTTCTTTGAACGTGACCAGTTCTGAATCAAAGGCAAGGGCTGAACCTCTCGACTTGAGGAAAGAGCTGGAGGGACTTGTGCAGACAGCAGGAGCGAAGGCCACTGAAACAAAACTCTCCTTTCTTCCACCCTTCCCACCTCCTGCTTTCCCTTCCCTCATCAGAAATACAACTCACGCCTCACATGGGCTGCATCCCAGAACTCCTCGTTCTCTCTCTCTCTCTCTCTCTCTTTCTGCTTTTCATCTTATCTAAAAATAATCAAGCTCTTTGGGCAGTCGGTGCAGACGCTGAGGTCAGCACTATAGGTTCCTACTAGCATCCTGGATTAGCCAACCCACCACCTCCTCCTTTCAATCGAGTCTCTTTTTACTTTGTCCCCATAGCACAAACACACACACGCATACACATCCCTCACTTTCTTATGCAGCAACCCTTGGCTATAATCCACACGTCCCTGAATATCCTTGATGCAGCCAGGAACATTTTAAAGTGTCTTTTTTATTATTCCACCCCCCACCCGTGTGTGTGTGTGTGTGTGTGTGTGTGTGTGTGTGTGTGTGTGTAAAGTGAGAGAGATGCTGAGCTGCTCCAGTTCACCTGACAAAGCCAATTTCTCCAAGATTCCAATACTTGTTTTATTACTATTCTTATGGTCTGCATACGGTATAATAACAGCAAAGTCATTCTATCTGCACAGGTGGTCCTCGACTTTTGACCACAATTGAACCCCAAATTTCTGTTGCTAAGCAATCGTTGAGTGAAACTTACTCCATTTTATGACTTACTTGCCACAGTTGTTAAGTGAATCACTGACGTTGTTAAGTTAGTAACACGATTAAGTGAATTTGACTACCCCAACATTTTTGCTTGTCAGAAGGTTGCAAAAGGTACTCATATGACCCCAAGACACTGCAATCATATAAATATGAGCCAGTTGCCCAGGATCCAAATTTTGAACATTTGACTACGGGATGCTGCAATGGTCGTAAGATGCTGTTTTAACTTTTAGCTGTCACTAAATGAACTGTGTTGTAAGTTGAGGACTACCTGTATAGATTTGCATGTTTGCCAAATAGAGCACCATCAGGAATATCACAATTCAGTTGTGAAAGGGTGGGGAAGAGAAGGTACACCACCCAGTAAGAGATAAGTGTGCTTAATGACCACAGAATCATACCAATATGTTACATAAAGATTTTGGATAAAAATATAGTTAGTGAATTGGAAATTAAAGTATTCCTTGTTTAGTGACAACTATTTGGACCATCAACGTGCATTATGTGAAGCAGTGGTTAAGTGAAACCGTGATGTGCTTCAGTTTTCCTTGACTTTGTCAACCTGCAAACATTGTAAATGCAAGGACTGGTCAAAAAGTTATTTTTCCATCACCATCATAACTGTAAAAGTTGCTATATAAGGCAGTTGCTAAATGAGGACTGACTTATACCATTGATGAGCCTTATTGTAGCTTTTAGAGTTCTTCTCATTGTACCACAGAAATTCAGTGGCCCTTCTTTTTTCTCAATTTATAAAGGCAAATCAGTCTTTTAATGTAGTTTAGGAGGGACTCCTTGCGCAACTGTTTACTTTTTAATTGTTTTCTGCTCTGCCCCATCCACAATAACGTCATAGTGCTCTTCCTGGCCAGAAAACAACAACAGTGTTGTCCATAAGGCTCTGAAAAAAAAAGCCAACCATGATTGAAAACCCACTTAAATCCCTTACTGTGGAAATCTAT